GCGGCCGCCGCCTCAGCAGCTTCTTCGTCGTCCGCCTCGTCTTCGTCTTCGTCATCGTCCTCAGCCTCCTCTGGGCCAGCCCTGCTGCGGGTGGGCCCGGGCTTCGACGCGGCGCTGCAGGTCTCGGCCGCCATCGGCACCAACCTGCGCCGGTTCCGGGCAGTGTTTGGGGAGAGCGGCGGGGGAGGCGGCAGCGGAGAGGTAAGGGGGCGAGGAACCCCCAGGTCCGGGGTCCCGACCCTCTGAGGAGCCCCTTCCCCTCCCCCATCCTTGTTTGAGGAGCATCCCAATTCTGGAACCATCCTGGGGTCCCTGACCCGGGGCAAAGAGCCCTCCCATGTTGGGATCCCCATACAGGGCTGCAGACCCCAGACGCCCCCACCCCGGGGTTTGGACCCTTCTGGCCAAGGCGTTTGCCCCTCGCCTTCCTCCCCCGGACCCTTCCCCAAATCCCTTGGCACAGACCCCCTCGCCGGGGTTTCCCATCCCGGGCCTGAACCCCTCCTCCCTTTCACAGATTACCTCATCCGAGCAAGATTCCTCCCTCCCTTCTAGAGACCTGATCCCGCCACATCCCCGCCTCCCTCTCTGGGCAGATGTGTTACTCCTAGGGCAGTTTTCCTCTCGGGCATCTCTGGGATGGTATCCTCGTCCAGGGCCCCGTTCTTCTAGCCCCTGGGGATTGGTGTGCCTTCCCAACACCTTGCTTCCGAAAACCTGACGAGCCCCCGCCTAATCCCCGCCAGGTCCTTACCTTGCCGGCCACTCCCCCTTCCTTCACCTCCACCCCCACCCCACCCCCAGCAGACAGATCCTCCCGCGTCCCGCCCTACCCCACGGGGAAATCTCCTTTCCTCTCCACCTTGCCATCCCTCACCTCCTTCCCTTCGAAGATAACATAACGGTGCTCTCCTCCTGCAGTGGTCTCTTCCCCCATCTTCCAGAGCCACCGTTTCTAGTCTACTGGTAGCAGGGAATTAATTACTCTACTTAACACTCCACCCAGTCCCTTCTTCAGAATGAAGGATCAGTGGCATCATTGAGGGGAAATAGTCCAGCGTCCCCTAGCCTTTGAGAAGAGCAGCTTTCCAGCACTCTTTTGGAGAGGAACAGGCTTTCCCTCCAGCTCTGGGGAAGGGGGTCCTGTGATGGGAGGTGTTTGTAGGGGTACTTGGGCAGCATCCTCCCATGGGAAGCAGCTGCTCTCCTACCCCACCCACTGCGCCTGAGAGCACGCAGTCTCCAGCCCTAGCTCCCTCCCACCCTTCTTTTTCTCGACATTTCAGTATTGATCTACCTTTTCCTAGGCCAATCCTGGAGCTTGCAAGGGATGGGGGAAGCCGGGTTGGGGTGAGGAGAGTAGGTAAGGGACAGTTTTACTTTGCTCGTGTTTGCTTTGGTTTGGGAGAAAGGAGAATTATGAAGCAAAGTTATTCCTTAGAGGGAGGCGTTAGGTTTATCTCTGATTCTTATAAGAGAACCCAGTTTGAATGAAGGGCCAGACTTTGCCCCTTCCCCATTAGTAAAGGGGTAGAATGGGGATGCTTTTGATAGTCATTATGCAGCCTTCTTCAGTAAAATGGAAAGTTGCCCTGGGAAGGGAAGTTGAGTTCAGGTTCAGCCAGTGGCGTTGCGCATTTGTTTTCCATTGGATGCAGAAGGGGGAGTTTGAAACACAGGGGAGGGGGGGAATAACGGGATGGGGGATGCTAGGAGGAGGAAGAGCAGCTGCTAGGGGCTGAGGAGAAGGGGGGTAGGGGGTTACTGCTCTGGAGTGCTCTTGATTGAAACAGAAAGGGAAAGATAACAACCAGCCGTTTCCTGCGTGCTCTGCCGTTGGTGCACACAAAATATCCTGGGCAAACCCCTTTTTGCCTTTTGTGCCCCACACCCCTTTAGATTTACCGAAAGATCCTGGGAAGATGGGGAGGGAGGAGATTCCAGGGACCTCGGCCCCTTCTCTCAAGGAGCTGACATTTTTTAGTGCCTCCTTTTAAAAAATGTTTCTAAGGCAGTCTGATCAGGAGACTGACAACAACCGCCTTCTGACAGCAAGGAGGACATGATGGGGGCGTGTTCCTTGCTATGTAGCTAGCAGCAGCGTCCCCTCTCCCTGCCTCTCTCTGCTCTATCTCCACCTCCTTTTCCCAGCCTTCAGAAGGCAGCTGCAATCAGCAGGGTTGTTTGAGACTATTTATTGGTTGCTGTAGATTATTATTTTTTTTTGAAAGGCCAATTCTGTATTTTTTAAGCTAACAACACAGATCCCATGTAGTTGGAGAACCAAAGGCCTCATACATGACAAAAAGACTGAACCGTTCAGGTTACTTGCATGGAGTTGGTGCTTAAATGTGAGTTGATTTTGTTTTTTTAAAAGATACAGCAGCAAAAAAATAAAAATAAAAAATTCATTTACCTGCTTATTTTAGAAACTGAGACTTGCCTGGTTATATATAGAATTTTAGCCCCATGTATATTTGAGTATAATAAGAAAGTCTGTCTTAGAGAAGTTAGTCTGTTTTAAGGGATCCTAAGAAGCATTTTCTTCTTGTTTAACATGCTTATATACTTTGTAATGAAGGACCAAATTTTACCTCCCAAATATTATCACATATTCTAAAGCAAAGTTTTATGCTGACAACTTCCAATCATAGCTTTTCAAGAGACTGGTCAGAACGAGAGAGACCTGGATTCAGGGACCTAATGTCTGGGCACCAGAATATTTTCTGTTGGTCATTAAAAAATCACCTTAAAAGTTTTAATCAGGTGCTATATATTTTCTTATTTACTGGTGTTATGAAATGATTGTAAATTGGTGTTTTATTTTGATTAACATTAGTGTATATTGTAAAGCTTCTCAAGAGTTGCAGTTAATTTAAATAAGATGATATTAATAAGGGTTTTGTTTTTTTTTAAACTGTTGCCTGAACAGTACATGCTACTTAACTATGAGAAGAGTGGTTGACTCCTTACATTAAACTTCAGAATTTTTTCTGATTAGGCTTGAATGAGCTCTTGGTAATCTTTTTATGTGGTAGTTTGAAGCAGTCTGGTATAGGTTGATGTGTTGTTAGTGCTAAACCAGAGTGATTGTCTCCTTTGATCTGGTAGTTTTCAGTGTAAGAACTAAGCATTAGTCTTATATAATCTTGCAAATCAATGATAAAGTTCCAAAAGGGCTCACCTGTGTTGATATAGAATTCTAAAGATTGCTTCTCAGAACTTGCTCACAGCTCCATATGAAGTCTTGTCTAGATTCATGAAAAAGAAATGGTTATATAACCCCAAATGATCCTGACCTCTTTAAATAGTAAATTGTGGTTTCTGTAATTGAATAATGACTAGAAGTTGCCCAAAACAAAACCTTTAAGTTAATACTAATAAAAGTAGGTGACAGAACTTCCATATCACTTCCCTGTTGGGACTCTGTTACCAGAGGAGACTTATCTTTTACTATCATTGATTCCTAACTTTGTTCCTATTGAATAACTCTCTGGTAACAACTGTATTTAAGAATTCCTCATGAGCTGGGGTTGTGGCTCAGTGGTAGAGCACTTGCCTAGCATGTGTAAGGCACTGGGTTCGATTCTTAGCACCGCATATAAATAAATGAAAAAAATAAAAGTCTATCAACAACTAAAATATATATATATAATTTAAAAAAAAGAATTCTTCATGACCAAATTATGTTAAAACAGGATTTTTTTTTTTTTTTTGTACCATGGATTGAATTTTTGGGTGCTTAATCACTGAGCCACATCCCCAGTCCTTTTTTGTATTTTATTTAGAGACAGAGTCTCATTGAGTTGCTTAGGGCCTCACTAAGTTGCTGAGGCTGGCTTTGAACTAGCAATCCTGCAACTTCCGAGCTGCTGGGATTACAGGCTTGTGCCACTATTCTTGGCTGGAAGGGATTATTTTTAAAAGTACATAGGTGTTGCTGATCTCCTGTGTGGGCTTTCTGTATAATAGGAGTAGAATTTATTTTATTGTGAACTTTAAGAAATCAGAAGTTCATTTTTAGCCTTTTCTCTCCCTTTCTCTGTCACTGGGTAGTTAGGAGACCTTGGACAATTTACTTTTCTTTTTGTACTGATGATTAAATTTAAGGGCCTTTTACTATTGAACTACATCCCAGCCCTTTTTATTTTTTATTGTGAGACAGCTCTCATTAAATTGCTCAGAGCCTCGATAAATTGCTGAGGCTCCTCAAGCTTGTGATCCTCCTGTCTCAGCCTCCCAAGCCACTGTGATTAAAGGCATGCACCACTGTGCCCATTGACATGTCATTGTGTTGATGAAAAAAAAAAAGAATATGTATATATGTATGTTAGTTGTAGATAGATACAATACCTGTATTTTATTTACTTTTATGTGGTGCTGAGGATGAAATCCAGTGCTTTACATGTGCTAGGTAAGTGCTCTACCACTGAGCTACAACTCCAGACCAACAATTTATTTATTTATTTATTTATTCATTCATTCATTCATTCTAAAGAGAGAGACAGAGAGAGAGAGAATTTTTTATTATTTATTTTTTAGTTTTCGGCGGACACAACATCTTTTTTTGTATGTGGTGCTGAGGATCGAACCCGGGCCGCACACATGCCAGGCGAGCGTGCTACCGCTTGAGCCACATCCCCAGCCCAACAATTTATTTTTAATCTTAAATTTCTGATACGTAAAATGAAAAGTTTGCACAAAATAGCTCATGAATCCTTTTTTTCCCCCGTTATCTTGACTTATATTAAATTTTTGATCAGGTCAGAATTTCTTCTTTTGTGTGTATTTCAAGAATGAGAATCAGTGCTTCTGTTTGATGATTTGTTTTTGTTTTTGTTTTTGCTTTTGGTTTTGATACCAGGGATTGAACCCAGGGATGTTTAACCACTGAGCCACATCCCCAGCCCTTTTTATATTCTAATTCTAAATTGCTTAGGGCCTTAGTCTCCCAAACTGCTGGGATTACAGGCATGAGCCACTGTGATTTTTAATATCAGTTTGTACATTTGCCCACTTAACTGGCATCATTATTAGGAGAAATTCCAAGTTGGTGGGAAGTTTTATTTTGTGGAAAAAAGTATAACTGAAGTTAGCCAATTTCATTTATAAGAAACATGTAAGGTCTGGGGATGTAGCTCAGTGGTAGAGCAGTGGCCTAGCATTGTGAGGCCCTGGGTTTGATCTCTAGCACCACATAAGACAAACAAAACCAATAAAGAAAAATGAAGAAAAAGTGTTTAAGAAGTGGGATCTCACTATGTTGCCTAAGCTGGCCTTGAACTCTTAGCTCAAACAATTCTCCTGCCTCAGCTAGAATTACAGACGTACACAACTGCCTGGCTTGAAGATAGTTTTAAACAAAGTTCTGAGAACCTGTAGGAACCCCAGACATTATCTGGTGTGTAGAGAAGCCCTCTTCTTTGGCTAAATTTCTTGTTTGGCTCTTGTTTTCATTGTTGTACATTATTTTCAGTCTAAGTAGTATATTCCTTAAGCTTTTAAATGAAAAGTTCAGTAGATCAGTGTATTTATTAGTCCAAATACCTGCTTTATGTTCAAAACGAACTTCTTTATTTTTTACTGAGCATTAGAAATTCAGTCTTTTTTAGTCATCTCTCACTAAAAACCTTATGAAATGTCCGTGACTTTATCTTCCATTGAATTATATTAAAGCACATGGTCCTTGCTGAAATCATTTACAAAATAGTGATTTACTTTCTGATTGGAAGCTAAGAAAAAATATTCTCATTTTGACTTAATTCTCATCTCTTTGCTCACCTTGAAGCTGTCCTTCCAGAGAACAACTGTGCAGATTCTATATCTGTTGCCTCCCTTGCCTTGTGGCTAGAGGGGGTGGCAACCATGCTTTTTTCGCTCAGAGGCATAACAGACTGCAGTGCTTCTCTTTTAGAGACTTGATGTGTTTTAATTGTAGGTCTCCTAATTAAGATCTCTTTGAGCCGGCCCACATTCCACTAGTGTTGGCACAGCTTCCTTCTAGCACTTAACTGAAGGCCTTCAATTGAACCTTTTGTGAATATCTTGTCTCTTCATTCTTCTTCTGCCAAGGTGGAGCCTAGTGCCTTGGACCTTTGAGAAAGGGGGAAGCTTTGTGACCATCACTACTTTGGGAGGAACTTATTTAAGGATTGTTGGGGTGGGACCTTCCTTTGTTTGCATGTTATTTTCAGGGATTAAGAAAGGTTAAATTACTAATGAGTCTGGCATGATACACCTATTTTAATCAGATTCTTAACCCTGTAGGCACTAGTAGAAAAGAAGGTGCTCATGTGTTCACTGATATAAAGCACTTGTTTGGATCTCATCTAGACTGGTTTATGAAGCTTGATGAATGAAATCTTGTCATGGAGTAAATCACAGACTTGTGATATTTGTGTACCAGCAGGTTGTGAAGACAATCAAATGAAATTATTGGTTGCTCCTAAATTATGTCAGATTTTTTGAAACAGACTGAAAGTTAGCTTTGAGATTCAAATTAACTTTTTAGATTAGAACGGACTTTAGGAGGCTCTAGAAATTGTTGAACTAATAAAAGAATATTCTTGTAGTGCTAATATTGCTTGAGAAGTGAGAAATTGGCTGGCTTCTAGAATAGTTTCAGAATAAGTCTTTTTTCCCCTACTGGAAAAAGTAATTTGACTTTAGTTCTATAAGTGCTCAAAATATGCTTCCTTCATATATCTGTATGTGGCATGCTAGAGGAAACACGGAGTCTTTTATTAAGAAAAGGATTCTTAAGTCCTTCACCTGGGCCCAGATGGTTTCATTGATCATATCAGTATGAGGTAGGCAGACAAAGGACTATTTTGTTGTTGTTATTGTCATTTCATTGGTCATGAAGAAGACTTGAAAGAAGGAAGTACAGGATCATTTATGGCATGCATTAAATAAAGCTGGAGGCCTGCACTCTTATACCTGAGTGGGTGGTTTTATGGCTTTATTCTCTAATTGCTGGCATTTATGACTGTGTGGATGCTACTGGCCCTGTGGCCGAGGTAGATTATGCTGGGAATAGGGAGGGAGAAGGGGTCCTTTTGTCAGCCTTTTCATTTCCCCCTTCAATAAGGTCTCTGAGAAAGCCCTGAGGAAATGCACAGACACTTGGACTGAGAAAATGACTTCCCATAAAATGGTTCTTTATATTTTTAAAAAGGATGATCTGCTTTTCTTGACCTATCCAAAGAAATCCATACCACCACTGTTAAATATTTCAATGAGCTTTTTACCTTGTCAGGTTACACAACAGGGGAAGCCAACCATGAGGCTAGAGCCACTGTGGAACATTTGCTTTTAAAGACTAAGGTATTTGAAAGGGAATTTTGTTGTG